TCTTCGATAAAACCATAATAGAAGGAAAACTATGAAGAAAACGATTTATACTTTGCGAAGCAAAGAAGAGGGCAATGAAAGGCTGAAAAATGGATTTTTTGAAAGCTCGTCACTTTTTTAGTGGACCACCCGTGGTCCAAAGTGAATTTTAGGTATTTCCCCTTAAATTGCGTAATTAGTCTACCTCAAATAACACGCGATTGAAAGCCGAAGTTGGTTTGCTGGCTTTCATATACCTACTATGCAAGTGAAAAAGTGTTTGAGAGCTGGAAAGCTTTCCGGACTTTGAAGCCCCGTCTTGTGAGCCCCACGCATGTAACCTCGCTCAAAAAGTTGTGCGTCGAGTGCATAAACATTCTCAGAATTAGCATCTGGAGATGTCTTGAACTTATCTTTGTTTCTGGGAAATGTTACTACGAGTTTCGGTAAAGTCCTTTACAGTTTTCACTTTGACATCCTTGATCTTCAGACCAGATTCTTCTCAGCCAGTCCTGTTGCTGTGCCAACATCATTACGCGAGTCTGGAGCGCGAGTTGCAGTGTTCAAAGATGACGCTTTCTTTCCGTACCATGGATCTGCAGGTAAGTAATTTAAATGTTCTCTCTGCCGAATGCCGTGCATACTAATCTTTGTTGCTCCAGAAGGGCTTAAGCGATGGGTCATGGCAGAGAGATGGTCGTTGATGCCGCGCGCTACACCCACAAATATCGCTGAAATTGGAAGTAATGGGAAGCTGACTGTACTTGTTGTATGCACGGAGGTAGCGCTTTTCAGAGTTCGTGTCATGCAGCTCTTTACCTTTTCTTTTGTAGTTAGACAGACTCAATCAATCGTCCCCCATAGGAATTTTTTGTGAAATGGTAGGTTTGATAACCTTATGCAAGCCTTCTCACTTTACCGAAGTTTTCTAGGCTAGAGGAGCTGCTGAAGATTTGAGGAAAAACGAATACTTATATTCGCGGTATCAGTTTGCATGGTTAGACGGGCCTGAAGTTGCTACCAACATAGTTATGGGAAACATGGAGCCTCCCAGTGAGTTCGATCTGAATTCTTCGAGTCATATTCATATGTGGATTGATTAGTAACAAATGCGGCAAGAATTTATATTTCATTCATGTCAGGCTCAGTTTTCAATAGTTCTCATCAAAAACATATCATTTTTTGCCCACGTTTTCGTAAATAATTATTTGATAATGTTTAGATATCATGGTGTTCAACTATTCGACTTACGAGTTTTACCTAAGCGATGATGAACCACAGAAAATGACAAGAGCATCTATAGTTACGTGGCTTAATCAGCTAGCTGATGCTATTGAGAAAAACACAGCTGTCGCTCAAGGAGGTTAGGGCATTTGGAACGATACTTTCGAACTTTATCGCTTTTAAGCATCGATTTAGGTCGCTCTTGGCCAGTAAGGATAAAGCGAATGATTTA